AAGCTGTTTAACTCATAAAAATTTGTATAAAAATATAGCACTGTATAATCGTTTAACTCCAAGTAACTCTAAATTATAGCAAGTTTTTGCATAAAATTACAGTTTTTGTCAGAATATCCAAAATGTCCAAATTCAGCATGCAAAGTGTCTCGTATACAATACAACTAAGAAGAATGCTCTTGTGCATCTGTCAGGAATTTGTAAAAATAATTTTGTAATAATGAAATAAGCTTTTATTTTAAACTTTTTAACGGATTGCTAAATATCGATATAAATACATTATTGAAAAATCAAATACTGTACGCAATTATAAGGTAAACATGATCGTCGATCTCGGTACCTGCATGATGATAATCACGGTTAAAATTATACGATAAAATCTTTAACCGTAAATCAATAAAAGGAATAGTATTAGTGACACAAATCGTGGCAATTTTAATTACTAGGACGTTGCTTTACACAGATAAATTCTAGAAAAAAAAAATGCCAACATTATTATTCTTAATTCGACTCTTCTATATCATTATAATCACATCTGCTATAATAGTTTCAAATTTCAGGTCCTTAAAAATTTCAATCCTTTCCTACGGAAAATTTGGAACTTCAGCACAGTTCACAGCAAAAAATCCAATTGAGGCATATATACAAAATTTAACAGTTCCAAAACAATGGTTTAAACATTATTATATTGTTGGGACTCTTTGGGCTACATTTCTTATTACCGATGTCATTATTTTACGAAATAGAAATAGAGGATATTTTGCATGGTTCGTTCAAATCTTTGATAGTGCTGAAAAATATGAGCCAGAGTATTTTAAAGAGCCAGTTATAGAATGTTTAATAGGATTGTTAATGTTTCAAGTTCAGACTGTTAGAAGAATGTATGAATGTTTTTTTATTGAAAGGCCTTCAGTTGGCGCCAAAATGCATATAGGACTTTATCTGTTAGGATTGGCTTTTTATATTGCAACTGGATTGTCTGTGTTTATTGAAGGCATTGGAAATTTTGGAATTCTTTATAATAAGGGTATGTTTTTATTAAACCTTAAACATATAATTATTTTTCTTACTAATAATAAAT